TCCAGATACGTTTTTTTTTATCATTACGCAACGGTTCTCGTAAACAGATGCTCTATTAAAGATTGTTTGTTGGCTAGAAAAGCACACAGCGACCAGAAGCACCACATTGTTACTTGGCCAATGTTTCCGGCAAGCGCTTAAAATTTCCATTGAGAGTCTTAGACACAAGTTTTATAGTTAGACTGCTTTCCTGTCTCGTGTTAGAACAAACAATCTACAACTTCTGCTATAAGAAGAAAGAAACTTGCATGTTGAAATTGTAGGAATATCCGTTTTTATCTAAAACGACATTAGTTGTATGAGACAGTTTATGAAACAAATATTAACAATTCTGATATCAGGCACTATACCTGAAAATCTTATAACCATGCAAGCAAGAAAATAGAAAATACTGTGCAGTGTTCGACGGAAGTTAAATATATTCTTTTCAAGCATCTAGTCATTAGTGAAGCTTCATTTTCTTTAGACTCAGTTAATTAATACAAAACGTTTCCGATTTTCTCCCGGTTGAAAAGAACAATTCTCTTTACGGTTGTCTTCAGCGCATGCATTGGGGTTTCTTTTTAGTTACTTTGCATATGCTTATTAATCAACAGCATTGTTGTCGATTGCTTCAAAACTCACCTGCTCAAATAGATAAGCAGTATCCAAACAAGATTATACTACCTTCGCTAAATGTGCAATTATTTTATGTTTGAACTCAGCTTGGAGGGTAAGTATTTATAAATTTTATTTAGATTATCTTTGTCCAACAATATTAGCTCAAAATACCAGGAAATTCTAATTTATCCTGCTGGTGTCTAAATAAGCATCTTGCAAAACTGTGCCCTTGAAAACGAATACTTGTAACTCAAACGAGACCTAAATGTGACAGGCAAGACAAAATAATACGATAAAGTCGCTAATAGTTCGCGATGACAGTTAGACATAGACTGTGGCCGGCTCAGTCGCTACTCATAGATTTACTCATATATTTTCTCGAAACAAACTTTGGTGGTGGGGAATAAAAGATTTACCGGCATTAAACAGACTTTCCTACATGATTTTCAAACCTGATGGTGTTCAGGATAAACAAAATTATTTGGGACAGTTATTACATACGAACGAGGTGGGAACATCACATTACCATCTACATCTACATTATGAATGTCGTGGTTTTAATTTTCCATTTCAATTATGGTTTTCTATTTTCTTAAATAGAGAAAACGAAAAATAATAATAACGATGATGATGATAAATAGGACAACGAAATACCGCGCAACAAAATTAATACTGACTACTGGTTTGCAATAAGCCTGTAAACCCTAATGTTAAGCCTGATGTTTCCCTCGAATTCGTCTCGGAAAACATCAGGACTCTCGGGAAAACAAAACTATTTCCTTCGGGATCTGACATTAAGTGCATAATATTCAACATACAGGTTTTTTTGGTCTCTTCAAGGAGGGCGTATAGGACGCAAAAAATTGCGATGTAGTAAATACTTAAATTTGCATTTTTTATTCGTTTGAGCTCAAACTTTGCAGGATGGTAGAACTTTGTATTCCAAAAAATACTATGTTTTTTGTTTTTCGATTTTAACGCTTTTTGGCGGGAAAATGGCGTCACAAGATTGACGGCAAAATTAAAATTTGAAGATATGGCAAAACAAATAAAGCTCAAACGAATGAAAAATTCAAAAGTAGTTTCTACCTCGCAATTTTTTGCGTCTGTTTGCGTCCTATACGCCCACCGTGCTTTTTAAAGCTTAGGAGGTCTACTTTTGAAGACTACAATGAAGACTTCCGAATTATTTTGATTCAAAGACACAGTAAACTTTGCGGCGTTATTATTTTCTTAGCGGCAGGCAATAAAAAATTCCAGCGGGCAATGATGCAAATGAGATCAATTCTGCCTCAGTTGTCGCCTTGCAGCCCGCGTCTTCGCGAGGCTGTTCGCGGTGGGCAATTATTATTATTATTATTGCTATGTCAGACATTAACTTCGATATTCAAACAGGACACACATATTCGGCTAATAAGGCATTGAGAATGCTATTTTACTTTCTTCCTCTCTAGTAATCAGTTTCCTAGTAAGAATGCGTTTATCATTGAAAATAGTTTTTTTTTCTAATCGAAATTTGAAATGAAATTAATGTTTTTAATCCGAATATATTTTTTAATTAAATGATTTTTCTAATCGAGAGGAATTGCAAACAGTGTTTTGACTGAATAGCTTTTTAAGCGAATTTGTTGTAAATAGGACTTTTTAATAGTTAGCATTGGTATCAATAAATTTTTTATCGTTTATTTTTTAAAATTTAAAAAAAATGTTATTATTATTATTATTATTATTATTATTATTATTATTATTATTATTATTATTATTATTATAGAGTGCGGCACATCGAAGGGTTCAATTTAAATTGATATTTCTTGGAGCAAAATTTATGTCTTTGCTTCATCATCATTTACTCTTCTCAAGTTTCATGATTGCAGAAAATTATAATAACGCTTCATTAAATTAGCACACGAAGTTTAGAAATGAGCGTTAATTCAAGTCACGCTCATTTTTGTAAACCTTAATTTTCGCGACCTTGATTTCCATTATTTCGGCCTCAAATTCTCAATATTCTTTGCACATTCTTGACACCTAAGAAAGAGGAATATTTTGTCAGGATGAAGATCCGCCAGCACCAGTAAAGCCCTGATGAACCCTCGAACTTCACTTGGCCCCCTTCGTACGTTTAGGGAAAGTGCTACGAACAAAGTTTCCATTTCGGATGATTTGTTGAAATTTGTTCCTGTTGTCTCAACATGTTTTGTTTCTTTGTGCACGTCGCGTTAATTTCCTTCATTTTGAAATGTTACCCTTCCTTTTGCGTTAATTTCCTTCATTCGACAGTCGTTTTCCATCACACTGTCATTCGCGCCAATCTAAGTGGCGTTAATTTCCAATACCTTAATTTCATGGAGAGGTACGTTAATTTCCTATTATAAGGTATTTCTTAAAAACAATCAAATATACTTATACAATACTAAGAGCAGAAGATTACTGTCCCATTATAATTGAACTTCCAATTATTTCAACGGGCCGGAGTCGTTTCCAGGACATTTGGACCAAATGAAAAAAAATATATATATATAAATTTCCGTTATTTACCCTCGGCAGTATTTATAGCACTAATGCCAGTAGGGCCGAGCAAATTCCTGAAACAAATAAGTTGAATCCAACATAACAGGGTGAAGGATCCCAACTGGCCGGAAGCAAACCAGCTGGCCATTTACACTGAGGCGAGGTCGAGGATTTAAATTCGGGGACTACCGAGAACAAAGCCAGCTAGCGGTCATGGCGGGACTTGAACTCGGGGCCTCCGAATTGCAAGTCCAGCGCTCTAACCACTCAGCCACGCTGCCTCTCTTGGAACACCACGAGAACATAAAGCTCCTATATGTTCTCTTGTTTGGACTGATTCTCTGCCCAAAGACGTAAAGAATTCTGAGACTTTACTGTGATTCAAAAGAAAATTGCTTAAAAGTCTTCTTAGACTTAATTAACCTGATACGTTCCTTTGTTTCGCATAGTTATAATGTATTTGACAGCATGTGACTGAGACCTCTCGTGTAAGCCTGGCGGCCGGGTTTTCGGTAGTCTCCTACACAGCCGTTTTTAGTGTCGTCACGCAATGAAGGAGCGTTGCGTGACGATACTAAAAACGGCTGTGTAGCAGACTAGGTTTTCGGAGGTCTAGGCCACTTGCACGATAGCGTCGTTTTAATACTGCGACTAGAATCCTTCAGGGTTTTGCTTCCTTGAGCAAATTATCTTTTGTTATTTGAACCTCCCTGGGACTACCAAATTTCAATATGAAAGGAAAAACAAACGTTCTGGGCTAAGAAGTAAAAAGACGTCATCATGAAAATGGCCCATTCTGGCGTGTCATATCTGTTTTGTGCCAAACTATGTTTTTTCTTCTCTTTCCCACTGTAAATTTACCTGATCTGGAGTAATATTGCACCATATTCTACCTACAAATGTTAATCCTTTCCTTTTAATTTGGAGAAGAATAAGTAAGATAAAAGTATTTTCGCTGACAAAATCGGAGCAAAACATTCTCCGCAACCAATTTGTCACAAATTGGCTTTTTTCGACAAACGTTCGTCAAGTTTAACGTTTTTTTTTCGAGGAACAGGTTTTTTAAATTGGAAGAAAGGCAATTCTCATGTTCAGTATGTTAACCCCATGGACGGTTCGAGCCAATTCGGGCCAATTTAGAGCGACGCAGATCATGCATTTCTGAACGGACTTAGCTTTTAGTTGAAGTGATTAAGTTCAGTAAGCACGACAAATTAGGAAGGGATAGATCTTTGCACAAACACCTCATTTTGGGAAATTCTAACCAATCCTGCCAGAGTTTTACGAACAAAATTCTACTAAAATTTGGGCGGAAATTGGCTGCCAATTTCACCATTCCCTACCCAGCTACTCGTTCTAGATAAAATTTCCTTCTCAAGTTCTGGATTAAAGATATTCAGCAACAATTCGATGAGAAAGAAAGACGATCAACTGACTAACAATACTACACATAGAAAATAACGGAAAAAGAGAAAAGAGAGCAAGAAAGAAGGATCCAAAATATTCGCCAAAAACGAAAAATTACAGCCAGCTAGGAAAATTCTCGCCATTTTCATGCTAATCCGCGGAAAAAAAGATCCAGAAAGGAGGGTCTGGTAAAAATGCGTTCTTTTTTACGCTACTTAAATTCGGTAATCCAAGGGTTTCCTTTGTATTTCCTCTACGATTTACTAACACGTTTTGTTATCTAAAACGTCATACATTAGTTCTTAATTTAAGTTTTCTTTCTTTAACAGAGTGGCTAAAACAGGTACCGGATCATGGTGAGCTTCCTGGCTGCCTTATTAAACTTTGCGGTCAGAGTATAGTTAACCATGAACAACGAAACCATATTCCCCACCCCATGGCTACCTTCAAAGCTCTTTGGAAGCAATTCAACTCAGTTGAGCAATCACACGAAGACACTGGGCCTAACCTACGTTTTTACGCCGGCTGGAAACATCACAAAACGTGTTCTATGCGTCGTTTTGTTATTTCTTGGTATAGTGGGATTTCTTGGAAACTGTTGCATATTTTACTTTCTCGGGAAAAAGCCGAAGAGAGGTGTTATCCAGACAAATCGCTTCGTTACAAATCTGAACTTATACATAAGGAGTTTATCTCTGTCGGATCTCCTTAACTCGGCAGTCTCGGCACCTCTACTCTGCATTCAAATCTCGTTTGATGTATTTCAAAGAGGGTGGGCTTGCAAGGCGGTGCGGTATACTAACTTCTTGTTCTCAGCTGCTACCGTAAACACCCTTGTAGTGATAAGTATTGAGAAGTATTTAGCGACTCGCACCGTTTTTCGCACAGTCTCAACCAGGAGCATGCGCAGAATGATCATTTTTGCGTGGTTACTGGGAGCACTCTTCATGTTACTCCCTGCGGCGACATATGACGGAACAACTGTGGTCCTTAACGACACTCACTACACTGTCATCTGTAAAAATAACGAACACTTCTTTCCCTTTAGAGTAACATGGATCATTCTTCCAATACAGTACATTCTTCCAGGAATGTTCGTCACGTATGTCAACCTCTGTTTGATGAAAACCGTATGGGACAGCGGAAGACGACAGGTTGCCACGGTGACGAAGAGAGATTTTCAGGCCGAGCTACGCCTCAAAAAGATTAGGGGGACCACACTTCTCGTTGCATTAACATTCTCTTTTATAATCCCTTTCTTTTTCTTTTTAGGAAACATTGCATATACGCAGATAGCTAAGCCACAGCGTGACTTTACAACTGATTACGCGTGGCGTTATGGAACGGGTTGTGTCGTGTATTTGAGCGCTCTATTGAACTTTGCAATCTACTTTGTTCAAGTGAGAAGCTTTAGATTATTCGTTATTGACCTGATTCTGTGCAGACGAGATGACAATAACCATCTCTCTGGTATTGTGGTCTCAGGCGAACCAGCAGTCACTTTTAAAGCTAAAAGCGGAACGCACAAAAGAGAAGAAGAAATTATCGGGATAAAATATACAAATCGAACTGAGTAGAAAGACAGACCTGACTTGGCGATCTGAAAATATACAGTACTATGACATTCGGACTTCGCTGGGAAGAACAACCTCAAATATACCAGCGCCATCTAATGCAGCTACTGTAATTCGATGAAGTATGTTTAGGGTACAGATCTAGGTTTCTGACCGAAGAGAAAAGTACAGCTCAGATACAAAGTTTGTACTTGAGATAAATTAGGGGTTAATAGGTGAAAAAGCAAAAATTTATGGCAGGGACACTAATGGAAAGGGGATGCACAGGGGTACCCGAAGACTCATCCCAACCCCTCCCCCCAACTCCGCAGTATTGGCCCCTTTTAAAACATTCCCCATTTTTTCTTGAAAGTGTATCGGACTTACAATTAACAGGGCATAATTCTCTTATTTAAAGTTGATTTCAATATTTTTTTTAAAAAAATAGATAGATTTACAGCTCGTCGCAGACGATTACTTTAAACTACTCTTTCGGTCAATCGTAGAGAGATGTAGATAAGATAAAATAACTTATTGTAAGATAACTTTCCTTTTATCAGCAGCGTTTCCCGGGAATTACCCTCCTATTGGAGCCCAAAAGAAAAGCCCCTCCCAAGTTCCCGAATTGAGGCCCACAAGTCGCGACACATTCAGTGATTTAGGTCGGTAAATTGTCTAAATTGGATTAAGATACATTTATTTAGTCAGCAGATTCAAATGAGGTCAAATGATACTGTAATTAATTTCACTGCGATATGATAGTTTAGTCATAACTTTCGACCTTCAAAACTAACTTATTGGGCTTTTTCAGTTTATTCTGTCAGTTTTTTTCTTTGGGTAATTATTCCACAGCTAGTGAGGAACGGAATGACCATTCACAGTGGAAGCTGTCGTAAGAGGACACCCTCGGGACTCGAAAAAGGTGTCCGTAACTGGACGGTTACAGGAACTTAAAAATACAGAGTTTGTATGGGAGTTAGAGCGGTTTTCACTTGACTGTCGTAAAACCAAAACCAAAGTAAATACACTAGCCAACCAAAGGGCGTAGTAAAACCAAAACCAAAACCAAAACCAATCCCTTTCGACAGTCAAGTGAAAACCGCTCTAAGAAAAATGGGGTTTTGTGAGGGCGCTCGTAAGTAGAGCTTGTCCGCTGACGAAAGTGTCCGTTAGGAGAACTTCTACTGTAATGTTATTTTGTGTGTCTCAACAAACGACTGTAAATTACAAACGTTCTTTAACTTTGCCAAACTAAAAACTACCTACACTAGTAGCAGCGCCTTTTGGCTGCTATTAATCCACAAGTAACGAGGACCGTTTCCGTCGGAATTACAGGATATACTTCTGGGAACAAAACAATCTGGATCCCCTTCCCCCTAACCAACTTTTCAAATTTGTGTTGTTTGTTGTTTCCTAAAGGTGGTAGTTAATATTTCTTCTGCAGTCAATGAGGGACATTATTTGTAAACATCCATTGACCCCTTCCCGGATCCTGTTTGTTACATTTGCCTACAGTGCCTGATCAGTTACCTAGCAACTGGCCAAGCCTCTTGATGGATTCCTTTTCAATGGATCGGGACACATCAGTAAGGTAATACAAATCAACTGGAAAGTCAGTCGGGGTGAGAACGTTGACAGTAATGGTTGTCTGTTGTCCTGTAAAAATGAAACGTTCATCATTCACAAAATTGAACCTCAAGCCGGTTGTGAACACGCCCGTAAGACGAGGCATTATCAGCTCTGGTACGAGGTCATTTTTAACAGTAACCGAGACCCTCTCTGGTACTCTCAGAGGGTTAAAGATCAATAGGGACAGTGGAATTGAGAATCCTGATACGAGGATGCCTACAGTCAGACACCGATCAGTACAACAGGACAGCGGACCGCTAAAGGAACAGTCATCTCCTCTAATGCCAACAATGCTTTAGATCGAACCCTACCAACCATGTCCTGGGTGTTCCTGATACACTAATCACTAATATATAGATTTAGCCAGGGCTAAAAGCGAGGCTGCCATTAATAAATTTATAATTTAAATTAAACAATAAACTTGTATTCGAATTCCACAATTCAGTTAACTTTAGAGCACATTTATGTCACTTTTGAGGCAAAGGCTACCAGATTTTAGAGAAAAATAATTTGCAAACAGCCCAAGAGTGAACCAAATCTTACATCGAGTTGATAGCCTCATATGTACACTCAAAAACTGGTAATCATCTTCGATCACATTTAAGAGCCATAATGGCTCTTGATCACCGTAGATTAATTAGTGGAAAAAAAATCAGGCCAACTTTTTTGCGTTCGACAAGTTTACTTTGCGAAATCTTGTCAACAAATCTGGGTGCGTGTAAACCAACTGTTTTTATCATACCGGCAGACCTCGGACAGAAAGCAGTATTTCACAATACAAATTTCACTCATTCAATATTCATAAACTGTTAAAAAAATTTCCAAAATCACCTATACGGCCATCCGGTTCTCATTTTTGTATTGCGAGCTGTGGCGAGTGTTTGAATGAACATTAACAGAGTTACGCTCCAACATTATAAAGAATTCATTATGTTTATTTTTTATTTAATGGTTTAACACGCGGCATTTTGAGTACTCCTGCAAACGATGTTCACTGAACGACTGAAAGCAATCGGCACAGCGAATAAAATTACAAGAGAGACTACTAACAATCAATAAAAGAAATATAATTCGGTGAAACATATACAGAGACAACAATTTTCATTCATGAATACAAGTATTAAAGTGTCCCTAAAAATCCTGAGTCTTCAAGCTTCAAGCTTAAGTTTATGTTTTAAGCCGGCTTCTCGGTGGTTGCTTTTTTCAAAGACGAACTCGAGGCAAGAAAATCGCTCAAAGCTTTTTTTCCGGCCAGAATTATAACCAAATATTCTTTGGAACGTTTTCTTTCTATTTGCGGTGAGAAACTGTCTGAAGGCTTTTTAAAGTTCTGTAAGCTTATATCAAACCTGATACTCGGTCAGATCATTGTCTCAAATCTTACAAACGTGCATAAACTAAATGCCCGCATAAACTCTGCCTGAATTCATTAAATTAGATACAAAAAACAAACATCAAATACAATAATTTCTCTGGCTTACCATTCGAGATGCAGCTCCTGAAAGGTATCAAGAAAAGCCAGTATCGCTTCAGACTTTGCAATCCTCTTACGCATCAAGCAAGGTGAAAACGAAAACGATGCCATCCGAAATCGGATTTCCGTCTTTGACAAGCGACGTATTCCTCAACCAAAAACCCAATAAACAAACTGGCCATGAATAACAAAAGACTCCTGATAGCAGCTGAATTCCATTTTGCACATCCAGTGGAAAAAGACAGTTAAAAACATCACAAGTTGACACAAAACTCTGTCAGCTTCTGCTGTCAAAGTAAACAAGATTCAAGATGCTGCATAAATTTTCCGCATGAACTCACCTGTCAAATTTTGACCAATCAGAGCATAAAAATTGGACGTAGAGCGTGACCAACGCGTGACCATGGTGAGAAAAGTCATAAGCAACTGTCTTCCCTGCCTGTAACAACTGGCTGAATTTTCGCGTCCAAGGTCAGTTTGCAATCAAAATTTTAATTGTGTAGCACATAAACACAACATATTTCATATGAATTTAGAAAAAAATTGAACTTGAGCCTGCGATCAACTGAAAACTAGTAACTTGTCAGCGGATAACTTCAAAAAATACTTGACCTCGATGGGTCGACACCTGAGCCCGCGATACGGTCAAGTGATACTGGTCAGCGGGTACCCTGTTTTGACAGCTGTCAATTGATCGAAACATTGATGTCCAATATGTGTGCATTATCAGTTTAACTAGTAAAAGTATGGGATTGAACATTGTTCACGATCTAGTAAACAATTAACTGGTCAGCGGACAGCTTCCAAATAAATCACGTCACCTCGATGAGTTGACATATGAGCCCGTGATATGGTCATGGGATACTGGTCAGTGGCTATCCTGTTTTGACAGCTGTCAATTGACCATATTGTGAATGTCCTATACTAAAATCCTATATTAAAGATGTGGACTTGCCAAGACACGCCTGAGACACCCCTCCCTTCTTTTTGATAGTCTCCCCTACCCCACCCGTACAATCTGTAGACGCGTACGTACGTACGTACGTACGCTCGGTCAATCACGTGACAACCAAACGAAAAGAGGTTGACCATATTCCATTAGCCTGAGATCATGCCCTCTCCCTATTATCCCTTTATGTCTCTGACGGGAAGAGGGCATGATACATTTCTTTGTCGGATCACATGTAAAAATGCCAGAATCTGGACTTTTTTCTGATTGGATAGGAAACAATGCGGATGATTTGCGCTGTTCCGATTGGCCAAAATGACGCCATCCGTTAGTTGTTGTTGATTTCAGTCTGCATTTTTGCTTGCGTGATAAGCAGTGAATACACACGCGAGTTCGTTATGAAATTTCTGCCCGCTCAGTTTTCTTGAATTTGAAGAATGCCTAAATAGAAGTTTCATCCATTGAAATATTTACCATCTCATCGTATACCAAAACAGTTGCAGTCAAAACTTCACCGATCATTTGAATGCAATTTGATACCGGCTACAAGTTACAGAAGCGACAAACGGGTTTACTTTTCAAATAATCAATTCATGAATGGAATCTTGACCTGGTTTGACTGTATTTCCTCCTTCAGAAATCATGCTGCGAATTATTCTGAGCGATCTTCGCTTTCACAACACCTTTCAGTTCGTGAAATATGGTGCTTCAGCCTAATTTTTTTTCCACTGCTTTCGTAGTACAGAACGAAGTCAACGAGCTTTAACCAGTAAATTCTTTATTATTTGTAGCTATTCACAAAGGTACGACAGCTTCAGC